ATTGTTTTCAGAGATCATGTCTCTCAGTCTTTCCTGTTACAAGAATTGACCAAAAACTTCTCCCACCTAAAACAAAACGCAGATTTTTCCACATGAAAATATTACATTTAATTATTAAATGTAATGGTTACACATCATCAGTTTTCAACTAGAGAGTACTAACCATTTCCTTTTAGTTTCAACGTTCTTTCAAGGTTTTCTTCCCCATCCTCCTCATATCCCTGTATTTGCTGAAACCAGTATCAGTGGTTTCACTTAGAAGACAAGATGGGCAAACAGGTCTTGGGACAGTACTTTTTGAGATATTAGTTTTGTCCTTTATCATGCTTAGAGTGTCAGGGCCTTACTTAATACTGTTCTGAATTAATCCTGAGGTTTCTTTTTTCTCTAAGAAATGGCACTTCTGCAGAAACATTTTTGGATTCTGAACTTTCCCCTTAATTTCTTCTGATGGTGGATTTTAATGTTTCTTGACAAAAAAGAAGACAGAAGAAAAAGAGAGGCTGTTCTTGCAGAATCAGAAGTGATACAGGTTGCTTTACTGGGTATATTCTCTCATATTAGGATTTACCATCTGTTCAGTCCCTAATTATATTTATTTCACAACTTCAACAAACAGAAAGATGAAAAGGCTTTGAAACAATCTTCTCTTTCACCTGAAGAGTTTTGAATTCTTTTGCAAAGCTTGTTCCTGTATGCCACAGCCACATGCAGTAATGAAGTGATCCCCAACTTCAAACTGATGTCTAAAACCCACACACTGTGCTTGTTTTCATGGAGGTGTGTATATCCTGCACCTGACCTTACACTTTAAACATTTCTCTCATCCAGATATTTTTAAAGTGACTATTCACAGTTGGTCAAAACTGCCTAATATGGCAAAATTGAAAAGGCGGGAACCTTTGCAGAAACTCTGACACTTCTTTTACTGGTACACTGTAGACAGATCACTGCTGATTCTTAAGAAACAATGTAAGGGACAGTCCTAACCACCCAGTACAAATTCAGACACAGAACTGCCATTTTCTTCCAAGAGCTCCTACCAATGCTGAAAGTTCAGCTCTTAGAAAAATTCAAACTAGAAGAAAAAAAGGACAAACCAAACACCAAAAATAATCACCCTTTATAAAGCAAGTCTAACCAATAAAAGGTATTTATGGTGATTGCTTGAACATAAAACAGTAATGATAATAAATAAAGCACCTATCGTAATACTGAATCACTACTTAATTTGATCTACTGTTTAATTTTCTCAAAACCTCTAGTGCTAAGTAATTTGTGATAAAACTAATTTTATCTTCATATTTTTTATTAAGCTTGACTGCCCTATAACCACATTACTACCTGTTGGTCACTTAACTGCAAGACTGCTGGCAATTAATACAGCAGACCAAAATTCGGAGCAAGAGAGAAGATACTTAGAACACAACGATGCTCATGACAACATACCAGACTGCAACCAACAGTTGACTATTTTCCCATGTTTTTGTTAACAAAGTAAACTTACTTTGTCTAGTAAGCTTACTAGAAGCTATGCAAGAAATGAGACGACTCCTAAGGCTTGCATGTGTCAGATCCACCTTAAACTGAACCAGGGTGCAGCTCCCGCTGGGACTGATGGAAACTGTACCCATTTCAACCAAGATTCAATTTGGTTCACATGTAAAGGTCCACCACTTAATGCAATGAAGCATTAAGTAGGAATTTGATCAAAGCAAAGGAAGGTACATAATAACAATAATCTGTACTTACATTTGTCAAAGACCTTAAATTCATTTAGACAATCAGTCACCTTGAGTAGTATCTGTTATTACAGACATTATGTCAGATTGGAAAACAACATGAAGAAGTTACATTACTACCTGCAAGCATGAAATTTCACTTTTATGCAGAAGGGCCAGTCTAAAGACTACCAGCTCTCCTTAAGTCCCCCATAATGCTTTAAATAGGGCTTAAATTAGAAGTTATACAAGATTAAGGAGATGGATAGGTCTCATACTGGTCCTTGAGTACAGAAGTGAAGATTACCCACACGAATCAGTAAAAAAGTCTAAAAATAAAATAAAAATTTTAAAACATCAATTAATCTCACATTCAAGTTTGACCTATTGTTACAGTGCACTGACTTAAAAAAAAAAAAAAGCTGAGGATTTTTTTGAGAATCCAGTGCTCATGCTGTTCATAAAGTAGAGGAGTTTGTAGTCCAATCAACCGCCCTACATTAGGAAGTAAGTATTTAGCTGAATTTTTGTTTATATGCAACACTCGATAATTCTGTTAAATGAAAACCTAAATTTAGAAAGAAATTAGCACAATAGAGTCCATACTCTGAAAGTGTTTGTTGCATGTGTGCACATCCTTTTATGGTTTATATACTGCTCTCTGTAAGTGCATTTGACAAAGTGTATCACTATCAAAGCCTTCCTTGATTTGTCTACTTCATTTTTTTTCCATAATTCAATTAACTTTTTAAAAATAAATGGTTGTCTCTAAAAACAGGCCAGACCTGAATTCCCTCCAGTGTATGTGCCCACAGTTTCTTAAATACATTTAGATTCTTGTCATACGTTCCTGAGTCAGAATTTATTTTAAATAGCTGAGCCCTGTTTCAACACTGAGACTAAGTAGCTGTGGGTTCTGTAGTGCCAGGTACACAGTCTAGTCCCTGACTAGAATTCTGGGTAATTTTGTTGCTAGTAAAAGCAAGAGCAGAAAAAGCTCAGTGTGAAGTACTCAATATAGTCCCATGACAGGGGAAGGATTTTTTTTTTGTCTAGTGATATTCAGTGGCTGACATATATCCTATCCCATATAGCTCTGTTAAGCTACGTAAGGTTCTTGAATATGTTCTTTATTGTTCTAATGTCATATCTAATTTTTTTACAAAACTTGGAAGTAGCTATCTACATTGCTTGTAGAAAATACAAAGTATTACCTTTTTTTTTTTTTGTTTTGTTTGAATTCACATAAAAACCTTGTCATTTCTAGATAAGTCACTGTGATCTTTAATACTAAGCTTTTGACCCAAACGTAATCTAATGCAAATACAAATGTTGGTTTATCACTGCGATTGTACTTGATGGCTTTACATCTTTTGTTTAATTCAAACAAACAGAAAACTCACTTCTTCACCCCATACTTTACTACTGTCCTTTAGATTGTTTATAAAACATCCACGAAAATAAACAGTTCCAGCTGGGAAAAGAAGTTGGAGCACAAGATGTCTCACTCTAATGTACCACCTGAGAGATTTTGAGCAGTCACAGTTATGGCTAAATTACAGACAAGACAACTGCACACACTGAAGCAGTGATGCAGGTAGTCCAAACCCCTAAGAGGCTGCTGCAGCTATTATAGATAAGAAGTTATGCCACAGAAATAATGTTTCTAGAGGGGCATCTCATAGGTAAACAGCAGTAGAACTGATGCCCAGTGTCTTCATCAGTAAAGCATTTTAAGGGCAATACTCAAGAGAAACTTACAGGGACTGTTTGATACTGAGCAGGATACTGCAGTTCTACTGTTAGGGAGAATACTGGGTAAACTGGTACTGCCAGAAATGCTGGTACTTAGGTATAGCAGAAGTATTTATTTTTTGACATGTAACAGAGTTTCAGTAGAAAACTGCCATGAAAGAATTGTGCCTAGTAACGCAGCACAGCCCCTGTGAGATACAACAGTGCTTTCACCCTTAAAGACTCTAGGGGAACAGAGGCTAAAAGGTCAGACAAGAATCAGGCATCTAAAAACAACAAACCTCCACCTAGGAGAGTGTATACACTGCACCATGCTTTCTCTGCAGACTGGCCACTAATTTCACCTTGGCTTCTGCAAAGCTTCTCCCAAGTGTAAAATGAAGTTATTTTAGAACAGAAGGTTTTCTGTTTTTTCTTTTTAAGTGTGTTTACAAATGATCATTTCATAAACAACTGAAAAAAGAGGCAATCCCAGTACTCCGAAGTCAGTGATTTATCAGTTATACTACAAGAAAGGACTTTATTAGCAAGGGATATAATAAAAGGCATAGCGTTTGCACGGCTTTCCCAAAAACACAACAATAGCAAGGAAAGTACCCCCAACCCAAAACCAAAGGTGGTTTCCAGAAGAATTCACACATGCAAACGCATTGCTACAAAGATATCCCTAAGCTCCATTATAGCACAAAAGTTCAAGTTACTTACGCTGCCATGGAATCCAGGTACAAGGAATTTACCCTCATTCGCACTCTTATAATCCTTTACTAACAGAAGTATCCTGCACTAAAATAACTTATATTATTTGTGATTTCTTTAATGTGATGCTGAGGGAAAGCAAGCCTTGAAAAAAACTTCCAGAAACGTAAAGGACGAAATGAATGTTTAATCCTGTCTACACTTACTCTTCAGCTTTTGCCTTGACCTAGGCTCTGCAGACAAGAACTACAAAGACTGTTCCTCCACGTAATGTGGTAATCAAAGGCTTCACATCTTTAGCTTCTTCTAGGGTCCTCTAATGCTCACATTTTCTCCAAATTAACATAAACGCTTTGTGATCTTCAACTAATATAAGGCAGTACAGGACGTTCTCCCACCTATGGCTACACCCACAGTACAATTGCTTTGTATACATTACCAATGACACAAAACAGAACACCAGTGAAATGTTGTCATCCTCAAGAAAAGCCAGTTGTATTTAAATTAACAATAGGAAAATGTCTGGTGAGAGACACATTGTAGAAGTTTATCTCTAGGGCACAACTTGAGGTTTGAAAGCAAGCCCACCTGATCTGAGCACAGATCTGAAGACGGAAGAGTCACTTCACTATGCACCAGGCAATAGCAAAGACAAAACCTGAGTTTTAGTACTTGCTGTAACTATAGCTCCCCTGTTGTCTGTAGTGCTGTTCAGCGCATGAAACAGTGTAGCTACCTCTGCCAATGGGAACAAGCATTACAATTAACAGATCTGCCATGGGTATATCTCTACAGACTGCTGCTCCAACGCACTGGGCTGAGACTCACCTATGAGAGAGGGTGGGTTTCATGGAGCTCATAGAGTTCATGGGGGGTTGCATGGGTAGCTTCCCTGGGGGATCGTTCTGCCGGCTTTTCTGGTGGCGAAGAAGCAAGAGCCGTCCCAGTTCCTCACACCACGACGAAAGCAGCGCTGAGCAAACAGAACACAGTGACAGTAAGTGGCACATATAAAGAACCGGCACAGCTGAGTAAAAATGCAAGCTACTGTTACCAGAATCACAATCTGAACAGACAAACCCCAGCAGTGAAAAGCTTGTCCACAAACCACAACACACATTATTATCCTATGAAATTGATTCTGTAATTGCCCTACACTATCTTTGTAATGTTTTTACACAAGTTACAAACATTTTGCACAGTCTAAGAGAACTTGTCTGAGCCAAGCAGCACAGAAATGAAGAATGGGTGAGGCCCAAGGACATGGAATAGCTGTTGTGAGTGAAAAAAGACACAGAAGAATTCATTTCACACTAACAGAAACTTTAACAGAAACATACAGACATCATTCACAGAGGGGAGCAAAGAACAAGATCTTTTTTTCTGTTCCGCTCTTTTTGTGCAAAATATTAATTGGAGAGTCATGAAGAGAAACCCATGTGCAGGGATTTCATTTCCAAAACTGCTATCAGCTACCAGTCTTGAATAGATAAACAGACGAATATGGCCATATTGATGTATGGATACAAAGTTAGGCACTTAAATCTATATTCGACCCAGCACAACCCCTAAATGTGTATTTCCATTATGTGCATAATCTTCTGGTCAATGATGGTTAATCCTGTGCTTACAGGAAAATCATGCTTATGAACTATGAAGATGCAGACAGTTCCTAGAGGGACGAAAAGCTTGCAACTAACTGAAGACATGAAAGGGGTCATTATCTCTGAAAATGTGGCCTCTTTGTTACGCACCCACACTCAGAAAATATCAACCTCTTACAGAAACCACCTAACTTTGCAGTAAGCAGTGCCTCAGAAAGTGACTGCAGGTGAAATCTGGCTTCCGCGAGCACACCCAGCCAAGACAACCCACTGAAGCCTCCAGCAACACCTGACAGAGCCTCAATTTCAATTGCCTGTTCAATTTCAGCATCGGAAGTGGCTCTGGTAAAAAGTCGCCAAGGTATGACACAGTGAAGAGTTTCACTGGAATGAAGTGCAGAATAATTGCAAAATTCTGTAGTTGAAGAAATGTTCTCAAGTGGAAGCTTGGGGTTTTTCCTTCTTTAAAGTACAGTTTAAAAACCCTCAGAACAAGAAAATGCTTCATATTTAATTTTTAACTAAGTGCTTTCCTGAGGTGTTATGAACCAAACACAAATCAACAGATTGCACAAGTAGGTGAGAACCCAAAGACTACTCAAAAGCCAAGCTGCCACAGTGATTTAAAGGAGGAGAGCTCTACATGTAATTTTAGGTTTAAAAGAGACAAATGCAGAATTCTCTAAAATTGAGGATTTTATTTTCACTTATTTTTCTAATGGATGTCTTTTCACCAAATAACATAATCATAAGCAGTAGCAAACTATCATTTCAGGGTACACCACCTTCATTTTCCAATAGCTACTCACAGGCACTGTTAACACATACTTAGAACAAATTCCAAAGAGAGTAATTGTTAAGTCATATTTGTGGGGAAAAGAAGGAACCTGCTTCACCAAGAACACCCACAAATATGATTTTTCAATACAAGAAACAATTGGGATTTCTCAAGTTTAACGGCCACACAAGAAAAATGCTTAAAGCCTGGGCCATTCCTATGAATTAATCACACATTTGGACAAAGGAGAGGTAGCAATTTCATTGCATTTGTCAAGTGGAAGGTCAAGAGCGGTGTTTAGGGAGGCATTTTAGAGCTCTGCTGTGACAAAAAGGGGACACTGCTTCTTTATGTAACTAAATATGGTCACTTGGAAATCGTCAGCCTCACATGTAACTTACAGAAATCATTCCCCCAAGCCCTGTGAAATGTTCCAGCAACGAGTGTCAGTCTAAGCTGCTTCTCTATTAGCCAAGGAATCTGTCAACAAGCATTTGATCAAATTATACTCACCTTTTATCCCTGGCATATCATTACTAATGTGCCAGTGACAAAGGCCCCCCTCCCCCTTTTCCAGCTGCCTGGATACAAATCCCTGCCTCGCAGTGTTTCTTCCCGCACACCACGGCCACTTGAGCTCTGAGAAACACAAACAAAGTGTTCTGCTGAACGCTAAACGCAGCGGTCGCAGAGTAATACTGGATGCTGAGCACTTCCACAGCCGAGTGTAGTTACTATGGCGTCAAATGGAAATCGTCCATCTTAAACAAGGCTTTGATGGGAGGAGGGAGCTGCTCCTTCTGTGCACCTATATATACTTGACAAATAAGATAAAAAGCAACAAATCTGATGGGTCTGAGGGCATGAATCTGCAAACAGAAGTCAAACCTGCTTGGAAAAAAAAGCCAAGTAACTCCCAGAAAAGGAATATGCCAATGAGATGGCATTGCTTTGGTGAGGTGAAGATAAGAAAAGAATCTTAATGAGTTATTATCATCAATATCCAACACACACATTTATAAAGGTGAAATGTAAGCTGTCAAAGAACAAAGAGGTCCCAAGATAAGCTGGACAGTTTAATTCTACAAGTTATCTGGAGAGGACTCATGTTTTTAGAAACTGAGAGACCTCAGGTATAAAACACAGCAAATTTACTCATCCCTATCACAGCACTCATTATGGAAAGGTTTAACCTTTCCTCCCCTGGGACATTTCGACTCGTACCATGTATAATTGCTCTCTTCTCTGCATCAGTGTTTGTGTACAGAATGAAAACAGAGCTGTTTGTAGCCACCTAGGACTTACCAGTCCCCCTCTATCCAGCTCAGCAGGAGCAAGAATCCTCTTAAGGAGGATGCTGGGGTGGCCCCCTTCTCCCCATCTACCTCCACTGCTTTGCTTTCCACTTGGTGAGATGAATATATATAAACACCCCCCCCACATCTGGTACAGCTGGCTTCTGGAGAACATCACTTCCTGGGCTATTCAAGCAAGATGAAACAAACTCAAAACGAATTTACAGATTACACTATTCATCTTTAGTGTACTTAGTTACTGCTTTTTATGCTGACAGTATTAGGCACATCTCAACTCATTTACACTCAAAGCACAAGAAATTCAGTATCATACTATAATGAACAGATAAAGCAGCAAGCACAAAGGACAGCTACAGATGGTGCCAACAGTCTCTCCCTCTCATAGCACAGCCAAGCAGCTGCTTTTCTCCCCCCTCCACCCCTCCTCCTCCTTGTACAATAGGAGCACAGATTTTGCAGATGGACCATCCACACTGTCTCTTGCAGTCTCTTGCTGCGGCAGTTTAATGATCAGATTTAAATCCTGTTCCTGTGCTGCATTGCTACAATGCCCCTTGCATATAATGATGTGGCTTTCCTGCTTAAGTTGAAGTCAACTGTTGCAATGGGGGGGAAAGAAAAATCCTTAAACGTACAACCCCCCATGCCCCTATATGCAGCCCAGGTGTAAAATGCAACCTGGTTAATACACCAGAATTCTTGTTTTCAACCCCTCTTCAGTCGCAGAGGGCTCTGCCAGCTCATGCCAAAAGATGTATAATAACAGCAGTCAAATGACGTGTTGACAGTTTAAGTGTATTCACACATTTATTTGGCTTAAAGGGGCACACTCTGGGATGACTGGTGCAATATTTGACCTACTTTTCTCCATTTGCAAGCCCTGTATCATTCTTAATGGGATTGTGTTTTACTTTAAGCGTTGATGTATTTTCATAGGAATAAATCAATATTGATTTGCTAACGACAACTGTGTTAAGAAACCAACACAGAATGAGCAGCTTCAGCTTTCACATTTGTGAAATAGAGAAAACCAGAAAGATTTAAAAATAAGAAAAATTTCAATTACAAGGAGACCAAGGGGTTTCCCTAAGGAAACACAAGAAAAAAAACATTCAGAGATACTCAGCTTGCTGCTATCCAGTCCCATTTTTGTTACTCCTTTCTCGGAAGAGGACCAGACATTGCAAGAATGTGTCTCAGCACAGAATGTGACCGACTTCTCCTTAAAATACTCATAAATACTCCCATACACCCAGAGTTGGCCACACTTTATGTCCTTCTGGATGCCTCCAACAGTTTTAAACACTTTCGCTGAAAAAAATCCTAAGATATCACAGTGTATCCACACTGGGATCCTGGGGACAAGGAGAGGGAGAGGGCTGAAAGGTAAAGATTTATTTTTCTCCCTTCAGCTCAAGTCACATTTCAAGCATTTCTCTCCAACCACGAAAGAGAAAGGAAGCAATTGTTATTTAATCCCCCACCTCTAGGAGCCATGTCTTTAAGAATGTGCCAAATATCACAAGATTTGCGGCACAATTATTAAGACTGGCCACATCCCCTAGTACTGTTCCTTTCCTGAGAAGGCCCTTTTGTGCCTAAAACCTGCCAAGCAATATATAAACAAAGGCCTCCGCTGCCCACTCTGTGGCAACTTCCCATCCCTCGAAGTCATGGGTGCCCAGAACCCAGCAGTAGCATCACAACTGCTTCGGAAGTGCTGGGCCCTTTCCTTGGAAAAACCAAGGAGCTCAAGCTGGGGGAAGCCACAAATCATGCCCAGGCTACCTGTACCGCTTCTTACTTCTTGATGACAAACGATGCTGTTGTACTTGCAACAATTATGTGATAGATGATGAAGATGGACCTCGAAGGACAGTTTATAGCCATGGCATCGAATACTGGTACAACCCATTACTATCCCTTTTGGGCCCCGGAACAGAAAGGGGAAGGGAAACAAGCTAAACAATCAATGCCACCCCATAGATTCACTAATGCATTTCATTAGCTGCATCCACACCAGCACCAACAGCTGCAATCCTGTAACTGACTGATTTAACTTTACCGTGCAAAGTGCCATAGTAAGCATCTCTGAGTGAATGAGCCAGTGGGCTCCCTAGAAAGCAAGATACAGAGAAGCATGGTGCTAATCTATTTACCTATTATGCTACCCTAGTATTAGTTACAGCTTATCACCTCAGTAAATCACTGACTCTTGTTAGGGAACAGGCTTAAAGGTGCAGCAAACTGTTATTTACAGGCAGACACTATATTT